ATTGAGATCGTCTGTAAGTGACCTAGAGTGAATTAAAGAAGTGCCGCTGCCTAAATACTTTGTGTGAACTAATATACAGGCACCTGCATGGTGTAATAATTTAGCCGCTGCCACTGTCACTCGGTCTACAGCGTGTGGCGGCCTCCAAGCCGCCACTCGCCCTGCCTCACTGTACTACATTACGTCACTGCCCGTCACCACCTTACTCACCGCCAGTGCCATTAAGGGTGTGTGTGTGTCTGTTGACATACAACACGCCCCCCTACCCTCCGTGTCAAGTACTGTCGTGTTGGGAAAACCTGTCATCAGTGTTCTTACGTCGTAGCAAGCGAAACCAGCTGTCAGGCCACCTATGAGGTCTTGTATAAATGTGCATGAGTGAGTGAATGGGAGAGGTAGCCTACCTGTAAGTTCAAGATCTTGTTTCTTTATTATTGTGTCTGTATGTGTGTTGATCTGAGTGGTCAACCACAGTTCTCACCTTCTTCTACCTGACACAAGTACAGGTGGAGACCGAGACACCCGACGGTGTATGTGTGTTTATCTGTCTGGTATCACGACATTACACTCGTCTGTGAATGTGAGCTTCACATACACCACACATTTAGTTCTTGTGTGACATAATTATTGTGCATGATTATTGCCTGTCCTATTGACAGTGCCATTGTTGATTTATTGTGCATCATCATTACCCAAGTATCCGGTTGGAACTCCTGTGACCCTTTGCTCACCGTCAGTTAGGTTTGCCATGTTAATGATTGGCTATCAATTGTGGTTGATTGGCTGTCGTTAGATGGTTGTCAACGAGTGGATCAGAATCGATTAGTGAGACGTCAAGAGTCTCGCTAATGTGACCAAAGCCTTTCTGACGCCAATCTAAAGTAAATCAAGCAAGTTAGGTATTAGTAGTTAAGTTTATAAATAAACTACTGCATTATGTGGTGTTTCCGTTGAACCACTTCTGAATACTGACAACTATTACTCAAGCCTTCAGCTCCAGTTGTCTTCAACACCGAGTTTTCTATTATTCACAAATCTATAAATGTGATGAGGACCCTTGGAGTCCTTTAAAGTGTTGCAATCATTGAGGAGATTCCCACGACCAACATGGACCAGGACCAGGTGAGGCTGGTCTGAGAAGAGACCCTCAAGGACTCTAACTCGACCTTGCTCCCAGGCCCTGTACGGTTGCTCTCGTATTTTCTCTGCTGGATTCTGACAGCTCCGTGAAGTGTCTGTCATATGTTCAGTGGTGACGTTGCTGAGAGCTCCGTGAAGTGTCTGTCATATGTTCAGTGGTGACGTTGCACGCATTGCAGTCGGGAAAGCAAAATAGAAAAATACACATCTGGTGCCCAACGTGAAAGGCTTAATTGGAGCCCAGGAGCTAGGTTGTAGAGTAAAGTTTTGCACTTAAATTTTCCCTGAAAATTTAAAAGTTGAGGAGCAGTATTGAGAGGATGTTTAACACACTGTTAGGTACACACACACACCACTAGAATGTCTGTGTGGGGAGAGTTCAAACAGCGCCACCTGCATCTTCACCACGCTTGACCGCTCATAGACTTGACGACTACGACACTCTTACTGAGCAAGAGTGTAAGGAACGAGTGGAGCAGCACCTGAGGGCCGTGGAAGAGGTGATGCAACAAGCACACATGCAGAACAGTACTGAGGTGGCGTGCGCGAGTCTCAACATACTGGGTGACACTATTGGTGGCGAGACCCCGGTGAGAGATAACTTGTTGGTAGAGATCCCTGTGGGTGACGTCACTGAGAATGATGTCACTAGAATCACGCAAGCTGCAAGAGAAAATGGAGTCGTGCGGTTGTTGTTGTTTAAGATTCAGCTACTTAGAACAAAAGTTCCAAAGTAGCACGGGCTATGGTGAGCCCGTAGTGGACTTACCTGGCACAGAAGCGGGACTGTAACTGCGGTCGCGTGGGAATCAAGTCCTTTAAATACTTCGTTGGGGCGATTCCACGGTGGAGAATCTCTGCCCAATAGGTCCTTGTTGACGACGCCAGCTCAAGGAGTAGGTATTACAGGCTCGCACTTATTCACCTTAGAGGAATACCGTGACCAGGTTTGGGGGGTTGGGATTCGAAAGGAATAAAGTAGCAGAGCAAGCTATCAGACTCTAGGCTGATCAGCAGAACAGAGATAGTACTGAACGCATAACTTTCATGCAGTCGCAAGCGAGGCAGGATCACCAGACAAATGGTCGTTCAACAGAGACTAACGTTGAACAAGGTAAGACTGTCAAACTACCCCCACTAGCTAATTTTGATGAGAAGGGCGACTCAAGGGTTTCGAAGGACACGCCGCTGATTGCGGGTGGGCAAGATGAAACTGGGCACTCGCTCTTGGTGCGTTGTTAAAGGGTAGGGCACTAACTATCTACCACAGTCTGAGTCCGCACCAGCGCGGAGATTACGAGGCATTGACAACAGCGCTGCTGAACGGTTTTGGCATCACTGCAGACCGGATGCTAGAGAATTTCCATAGGGCTCAATTGCAAAAACACTCCTCTTAGTGAGTGCTCAGGTACACACCTCTTAGTGAGTGCTCAGGTACACACCTCTTGGTGAGTGCTCAGGAAACACACCTCTTGGTGAGTGCTCAGGTACACACCTCTTGGTGAGTGCTCAGGAAACACACCTCTTGGTGAGTGCTCAGGTACACTCCTCTTGGTGAGTGCTCACGTTCACTCCTCTTGGTGAGTGCTCAGGTACACACCTCTTGGTGAGTGCTCAGGTACACACCTCTTGGTGAGTGCTCAGGAAACACACCTCTTGGTGAGTGCTCAGGTACACACCTCTTGGTGAGTGCTCAGGAAACACACCTCTTGGTGAGTGCTCAGGAAACACACCTCTTGGTGAGTGCTCAGGTACACACCTCTTGGTGAGTGCTCAGGAAACACACCTCTTGGTGAGTGCTCAGGTACACACCTCTTGGTGAGTGCTCAGGAAACACACCTCTTGGTGAGTGCTCAGGTACACACCTCTTGGTGAGTGCTCAGGTACACACCTCTTGGTGAGTGCTCAGGAAACACACCTCTTGGTGAGTGCTCAGGTACACACCTCTTGGTGAGTGCTCAGGAAACACACCTCTTGGTGAGTGCTCAGGTACACACACCTCTTGGTGAGTGCTCAGGTACACACCTCTTGGTGAGTGCTCAGGTACACACCTCTTGGTGACTGCTCAGGTACACTCCTCTTGGTGAGTGCTCAGGTACACTCCTCTTGGTGAGTGCTCAGGTACACTCCTCTTGGTGAGTGCTCAGGTACACACCTCTTGGTGAGTGCTCAGGTACACACCTCTTGGTGACTGCTCAGGTGCACACCTCTTGGTGAGTGCTCAGGTACAGTCCTCTTGGTGAGTGCTCAGGTACACTACTCTTGGTGAGTGCTCAGGTACACACCTCTTGGTGAGTGCTCAGGTACAGTCCTCTTGGTGAGTGCTCAGGTACACTACTCTTGGTGAGTGCTCAGGTGCACACCTCTTGGTGACTGCTCAGGTACACTGTGGGAACCGACCTGTGAGATTTATATTTATATATATGCAGCCAATCAAACTACAGTATTAACTACATACATTGAAGAGGTTCCTTATCTTATAGTACAGCAGGCCTTATTCCAAACAGGTATAACTAGGATGTAGACACCAAATTGTCCTCTTTGAGGTAGCTTCCATCACCCAGTAACTGGTGTACAAAGCCTTGCTTCCTCGTCTTGACCTGTCAAAAGGGCGCTAGCTGTAAAGCCAGGTTCTATATATGACAAGCTATATCAGAGAAAACACTATACATGGAACATGAAGACCTGGCTTAATTACCTTTAGTTTGAGGCTTCCACGTGCTCTAACTGGCTCACCCTATATAATGACATTAATGGCCATAAATGAAAGATACTGGGTTTCGGAAAGAACACTTAACTTGATTTGTTGACAGCGTGTTGAAAATGGTACACCCTTGGTTTCCATAACACTACGTCCAAGTAAAATTAACAGGAGCCGCATTTGCTCCCGTGAGCCTCTGGTCTAGTATAAACAACAATGGCTGCCCTCCTCCTCACTCTTGCCTGGCTTACATTGTCCAGATGTCAGAAAGTGATAGAAGGGTCACATTTACTCTACTTTAATATTGATAATTAAGTTAATTTATATAAGATGTTTTTATGATGGTAAAGTCCAAAGACTAATGTATTTAAGAATAATTCCCACCATAATAGGTGGTGAATTATAATAGTATGTGGTGATGATATCCCGTTTTCTTTAGACGGTAATTCCACTACAAGTTACGTTTTCTATAGGTTACTTGTTGGTAATATAGCAGCACTTATTATCTGTCTGTATATTATTAAATGGTGTCGGATTTTCCGACATACACACCTGTTGGTGACTGCTCAGGTGCACACCTCTCGGTGAGTGCTCAGGTACACACCTCTTGGTGAGTGCTCAGGTACACCCCTCTTGGTGAGTGCTCAGGTACACTCCTCTTGGTGAGTGCTCAGGTACACCCCTCTTGGTGAGTGCTCAGGTACACTCCTCTTGGTGAGTGCTCAGGTACACACCTCCTGGTGAGTTCTCAGGTACACACCTCTTGGTGAGTGATCAGGTACACACCTCTTGGTGAGTGCTCAGGTACACTCCTCTTGGTGAGTGCTCAGGTACACACCTCTTGGTGAGTGCTCAGGTACACACCTCTTGGTGAGTGCTCAGGTACACTCCTCTTGGTGAGTGCTCAGGTACACACCTCTTGGTGAGTGCTCAGGTACACACCTCTTGGTGAGTGCTCAGGTACACACCTCTTGGTGAGTGCTCAGGTACACTCCTCTTGGTGAGTGCTCAGGTACACTCCTCTTGGTGAGTGCTCAGGTACACACCTCTTGGTGAGTGCTCAGGTACACTCCTCTTGGTGAGTGCTCAGGTACACACCTCTTGGTGACCTCTGTCATGTTGTTGACAATGTTGAGGTTAAACCCATTTACATCAACAGATAACGAGTGAAGGGAAGATGGCGACCTTTCTACATCTACGAGGAGCCATGGCGCAGGGTAGAGTGTTGCGTCAGACCAGTAGCGTGTTCCGGCCGGGGCAGCAGCTTGCACAGATGCACCGGTCAACACCTGTGATGGTCCTCTCAACACCTGCTACCGGTACTCGCCTCGACTCCATCCCGTACGTTATTAATATCATTTATCATATAACTAAAATGTATTAGATTTTATATAACTTTATGTTTGTTAACAGAAGATTACCATAACTTATTATTATTTATTTTATTATTTATTTATTTATATACAAGAAGATACATTGGGCTGTGAGAGCACATAATATCTTGGTTATCTTGAGATGATATCGGGGCTTAGCGGCCCGGTCCTCGACCAGGCCTCCTTTTTGTTACACCCCCAGGAAGCAGCCCGTAGCAGCTGTCTAACTCCCAGGTACCTATTTACTGCTAGGTAACAGGGGCATGAGGGTGAGAGAAACATTTTGCCCATTTGTCTCCGCCTCCACTGGGGATCGAACCCGGAACCTCAGGACTACGAATCCGCAGCGCTGTCCACCCAGCTGAATGTTCTTAAATATAAGAACATTGGTGTTCTTATATTTTTGCAAAGCCACAAACACGCATTGCGTTTCAGGTCTTTAATCTTACTAATAAAATTAAAAGTATTAAGATGTATATTGTAGTAAAATTCGAGGTCAACATAATAAGTACAATATAAATTGATAGTATTGTTTATACTTAAGATGTCTGGGGCAGCTGAATGGTGCAAAATTGATCGGTTATTTTGTTCTCTATTACGATGATAGAACTGAGTGTACAAGAATGTTCTCTATTACGATGATAGAACTGAGTGTACAAGAATGTTCTCTATTACGATGATAAAACTGAGTGTACAAGAATGTTCTCTATTACGATGATAAAACTGAGTGTACAAGAATGTTCTCTATTACGATGATAAAACTGAGTGTACAAGAATGTTCTCTATTACGATGATAAAACTGAGTGTACAAGAATGTTCTCTATTACGATGATAGAACTGAGTGTACAAGAATGTTCTCTATTACGATGATAGAACTGAGTGTACAAGAATGTTCTCTATTACGATGATAAAACTGAGTGTACAAGAATGTTCTCTATTACGATGATAAAACTGAGTGTACAAGAATGTTCTCTATTACGATGATAGAACTGAGTGTACAAGAATGTTCTCTATTACGATGATAGAACTGAGTGTACAAGAATGTTCTCTATTACGATGATAAAACTGAGTGTACAAGAATGTTCTCTATTACGATGATAAAACTGAGTGTACAAGAATGTTCTCTATTACGATGATAGAACTGAGTGTACAAGAATGTTCTCTATTACGATGATAGAACTGAGTGTACAAGAATGTTCTCTATTACGATGATAGAACTGAGTGCACAAGAATGTTCTCTATTACGATGATAAAACTGAGTGCACAAGAATGAAAGAACTCTTGTATATATAGATAAATAAAATAATTACAAATAAAATTTCAGCTTTCCATTATTTTTTGTCTCTTTTTCGGCATTTTTCCTCTGTTGATTGAATATATTTTGTATATTGAAACTGATTCTCCTTTGCGTTAGAAATAATTTTTGAAGACTTTTTAAAATAATGGCGATAATTGTGGGGGAAGTCTACTGTTCGGAATATATTTATTTATTATAAATGAGCTGTATTTGATTTATTATTATTTAATGAGGACTATGAATTTATGCTTATCTAACTAGCAAACTTGCCCCTCACACATTTTGTGGGGGTTTGTATAATTACATTGGGTCACACCAAAATTAAACTGTTGATCTATTACATAATTTGGTTAGTAGTAGGCATCCTTCAGTCTCGGGAGACTATGGAGTTGTGCCCTGGTTGTCAATCCTGGTGCAGCGTCTGGTGTGACTGATGAGGCCAATCCGAGAGTGGCAGTCCATCCCACACTGAGCACAAACGAAGTCTGATTCTGGTCTGTCTTCCTGGCTATCGGCTATCTTTCTCTGTCTCTTTTCCTCCGATTTCTTGGCAAGTGACTCCTCGAACTTGGAGAGACCTCTCTGAACAGACTGCCTCCAGGCTGATCGGTCTGCGGCCAGTGTTTCCCACGTAGCAAGATCGACGTCCATGGCTTTCAGGTCGTTCTTCCATACGTCTTTGTACCGTAACTGGGGTTTGCCTGTTGGACGCTTTCCCTGCGTCAGCTCTCCGTTCAAGAGATCCTTGGGGATCCTGCTGTCGCCCATTCGCTCAACATGCCCGAGCCAGCACATTCGTCTCTGTTTTAGCATTGTGTACATGCTGGTGATTCTTGCTCTCCCCAAGACGTTGTTGTTTGTCACCTTGTCCTGCCAGGTGATGTCCAAGATGTGTCTAAGGCAGCGCATGTGGTAGGCATTCAGATGTCTTTCCTGACGGGCGCGGACTGTCTAAGACTCACTGCCATAAAGGAGAGTGCTCAGGACACAGGCTCTGTAAACCTGGATCTTTTTATACTCAGTCATCCAACTGTTGGTCCACACTCTCTTGTCAGTCTCGACATGGTTGTAGATGACTTACTGATGCTTTTGTTTAGCTCCGTGTCGAGTGTGAGGGAGTCTATTGTGGAGCACACCAGGTACATGAAGTCGTGAGCAACTTCCAGTTTCTAATCAGAGATGCCGATGTCAGGTGGGGAGTCCACTCCTTGTCCCATGACCTACGTTTTCCTCAGGTTGATGGTAAGTCCAAAAGCCTGACAGGCTTCGCTGAAACGGGTCATGAGCCGTTGGAGGTCTTCGGCTGAGTGGGCAGTGACTGCTGCATCGCTAGCAAAAGGAAGTCTCGCAGACACCTCCTTACCTTGAGGTTACCTTGAGGTGCTTCCAGGGCCTAGCGCCCCCGTGGCCCGGTCGTCGACCAGGCCTCCTGGTTGCCGGACTGATCAACCAGGCTGTTGGACGTGGCTGTTCGCAGCCTGACGTATGAGTCACAGCCTGGTTGATCAGGTATCCTTTGGAGGTGCTTATCCAGTTCTCTCTTGAACACTGTGAGGGGATTGCCAGTTATGCCCCTTATGTGTAGTGGAAGCGTGTTGAACAGTCTCGGGCCTCTGATGTTGACAGAGTTCTCTCTCAGAGTACCTGTTGCACCTCTGCTTTTCAACGGGGGTATTCTGCACATCCTGCCATATCTTCTGGTCTCACGTGATGTTATTTCTGTGTGCAGGTTTGGGACCAGCCCCTCTAATATTTTCCACGTGTAAATTATTATGTATCTCTCCCGCCTGCGCTCAAGGGAGTACAGATTTAGGCTCTTTAGTCAGTCCCAATAGTTTAGATGTTTTACTGAGTGGATTCTAGCAGTAAAGGATCTCTGCATGCTCTCCAGGTCAGCAATTTCTCCAGTTTTGAAAGGGGTTGTCATTGTGCAGCAGTACTCCACTCTAGAGAGCACAAGCATTTTGAAAAGTATCATCATCGGTATAGCATCTCTAGTGTGAAAAGTTCTTGTTATCCAACCTGTCATTTTTCTTGCAGTTGTGACGGCTACTTTATTGTGTTCTTTAAAGGTAAGGTCTTCCGACATGAGTACACCCAGATCCTTTACATTGCCTTTTCGTTCTATGTTATGATTTGCCTGAGTTTTGTACGTGGTTTCCGTTTTTATATTTTCATTTTTTCCATAGCGCATGAGCTGGAACTTATCTTCGTTAAACACCATATTATTTTCTGTAGCCCATAGAAAGACCAGATCTACATCTGACTGGAGGTTTGCCGTGTCCTCTATGTTGCCAACTCTCATGAAGATCCTAGTGTCATCTGCAAAGGATGATACAGTGCTATAGGTTGTGTTTTTGTCTATGTCTGATATGAGGATGAGAAAAAGTACTGGAGCAAGCACAGTGCCCTGGGGGACTGAGCTCTTCACGGTTGATGGGCTGGATTTTATTTTGTTGACTATTACACATTGGGTTCTGTTGGTCAGGAAATTGTATATCCGTCTGCCTATTTTTCCGGTAATTCCTTTTGAATGCATTTTATGTTCAATAACACCATGACCTCAGCCAAATCTTTGTCTTGGCTCTCAGCCTGGCAAGGTTAAAGAACTTTCCATCCGACCTGGTCCGGAGGTAGATGCCTTCTACGGCAGATCCGAAGGCGTGCTGCAGCATAACTGCGAAGAAAATCGCGGATAGAGTTGCAGCCAGGACGCAGCCCTGCTTTACTCCACTTCGGATGTCGAAGGTGTCTGATGTTAAACCGTCAAAGACCACGGTGCCCTTCATGTTCTCATGGAAGCATCTGATGATGCTGAGGAGCCTGGGTGGGCATCTTGGGGGAGGATCTGGAACAGGCCATCCCTGCTGACGAGGTCGAAAGCCTTCGTCAGATCTATGAAGGCTACGTACAGTGGCTGCATGGTTCTGTTCCCTGCATTTCTCCTGCAGTTTTCTGATGGAAAAGACCATGTCGATGGTGGATCTGTTAGCTCTGAATCTGCATTGTGATTCTGGATAAACTCTCTCTGCAAGTACTTGGAGCCTCTTCAATGTTACTCGAACAGCTTTCCGACAATACTGAGGAGGGAGATGCCACGGTAATTGTTGCAGACGCCCCTGTCATCTTTATTCTTGTACAGCATGTCGATGTTGGCGTCCCTCATGTCCTGTGGCACCTCTCCTTCTTCCCAGCAGAGGTAGAGGATTTCATGCAGCTCCATGAGCAGGTTTCTTCTACAACACTTCAAGGTCTCAGCAGGAATGCCGTCTTTTCCAGGAGCTTTGCCAGAAGCAAGGGAGTTTAGGGCCTTGCTGAGTTCTTCGAGGGTCAGTTCGCTGTCGAGCTCCATTAACACAGGCAGGCACTCAATGTCGCTCAGGGCGTCTTCAGTGACCACATTCTCCTGGTGTATAGCTCGGAGTAGTGCTCAACCCAGCGCTTCAGCTGAAGTGTCTGGTCCTGAATCACCTCGCCAGTGTCAGGTTTCAGGGCAGGCGGTCTTCTTTTGGATTGGGCCAAGGGCCTGCTTGATGACGTCATACATCCCCTTTACATTGCCTGTATCCGCTGCAGTCTGTATCTGGGAGCAGAGCTGGAGCCAGTAGTTGTTGACACATCGCCTGGCGCTCTGCTGCACTTTGTAGTGGACGGCCTGAAGGATCTATAAG